AGTTAACCCAACATTCACAATGGCGTATCTGTTACTGATGATGTGATCAGAAGTGACAAATGTCTCTTTTGCTGTTGGCAGTATATTTTGATGATGGTTTAGGAAATCCATTCTACTTTGTAGGCAGGAAAGGAAGGGAAGAAGGGTGGGTGGGAGGGAGGGCTCTGAATTTGGGAGACCTTTGGGGCAAGCCTAGTCTCCTCGGCTCTTCTGAGCAGGGAGGGTGTCCCTATTCTGGCACCTTCCATCCAACATGTTTCCCACAAAAGCAGGTGTCGGAGAGCAAGCGGTTGATAAAATTCCGGCTCTACTGCGAGGTGCACAATTAGGACGTGCACAATTACAAGCATCCAGGTGGGTACATGCCATTTGAAATGTAAATGATTTAATTCCTGTGTAGAGATGGGCATTAAAAAAAAACACAATTATGCACAGTGAAGCTATTTAACCAACCTTATCATTTCTCACCAGCCCATTTTTACAGAGTTAATTGCTTTCCATGACTTAATTTGAACATTAGTATTGATTACACCTACTCTGATTCACTAAGTGATAATGATTGGCTAATTTTGTGAATGGCAAAAACACACTCAATGAGGCTGGCTGTCTTGTCTGGGAATTACATAGTCTTGTTTTATCAGACTCTCTTAGAAACAGGGGCTGGGGGTCCATGAAGGCAGGCAGGCTGCTGAAACAGGCATGAGTCATGGAAAAGACATGCCTAGCCCTGGTTTTATTTCTTCTGTTCAGAAAGCTTGACATTTTGTTAAATCCAAGTACTTCTTCACCCACCCACCCTGTAAACAGAGACTTGATGTGTCCTTTTAATTGTATTGAGAAGAGGGAGAAGGCCATTCCCTGCAAATGCTGTGAAGACTCTGGCCTCCAGCTCCTTGATGAGCCTGGTGGTGACACGCCCACCCATGCCAGCCCCTGCCAACAGGCCTAGAAGGAGGAGAGGGAGCCCAGCCTCAAATGCCCTTTCGTGAAAGCAGAAACGAGAGGCCTATATCACAGACACCTCTCCTTTGCAAATGCCAGTTGCCTGTTTCCAGAACTCTTTGCTGGGAAAGCAGCCAAAGCTTGTGGGGTTCCTACGCCTGCCAGGCACAGAGCTGAGCCCCGAGGCAGGTGCTGCCTCCATGGCTCACACCAGTCCTAGGAGATGGGCATGTCACTCTTGTGCCCAGGCTTGTGACTCTATGTCGGCTCCTAATTCCTCCTCCAAGCCAGCTCGTCCAGGCTATCAAGAAGGCTGTGTGTGTGCGTGTGCATGTGTATCGTGGGTGCGTGTCACGTGTCTGTCTGCATTCCTGTTATTTATATCCCTTTGCTGGTTGTGCTGAAAGTATCGATTTAATTTATACTAGATATAATTTAGATGGTGATAAGATGCAGATAGTCTTATACGTAAGTATATGGCTTATCGAGTCTCTGAAGATATATTTTTTTTTGCTACAAACTGAACAAATAAAATTTACATTTTGTCTTTTGGGTCTTGTTTTATTCCCACATTTTGTTCTGGTTAGCAAAGTCTCTGCCCTAAACAGGACACTGTTTGGAGGCCTCAGCCTGAGAACAAAGTGAGTTCTTGGCAGCTTCCCCTCTGCACACATCTGGAGCCAAGTGCCCACGCAGCTGCCAGGCAAGGCAAGGGCGGCACTGGACAAAGTCTGTGCACCATGAGGTGTAGCATTTGTTTTGTAAAGGATATCAATCATGTTTTTAAAAGCAAAGGGACATTTTCAATTTGCCAGCATGTGACATCCTGCAACTTCAGAAAGGTTCCCAGCCCTTAGAGTGAATGGCATTTAATACCAACAACATCACCGAGGTGAGGGCTGGCTGTGACCTATTCAAATGTCGCCGCCACCACGCAGACTTGCCCAACACAATTATAATTAAATACTTTATGCCTCTCTTGCAAATCCGCTGATTGATCATCGATATGTACATTACCACCACATTACCCCCGAGCAGATGTCTGGTTATGGATCACCAGGTTTCCATTAACAAAGTAGGGAGGTGCTGCCGAGCGGGTGTTCAGGAAGGCAGCATGTGCAAATTACTGTGGTGCAAACCAAAGTTCCCAGGCTGGGCTGCACCAGGGCCCTGAGCCTCTCTTCCCAAGCCACCAGGAAATTCAGGGCATTCCTCCTCCCAGCAGCTAGGCAGCAGCCCCCCACCCCAAACTGCCACAGGAGTGAGGCAATAGCTTCCTGTAGGAAGATGGAGAACCATTCCCATGGGTGGAGGGGCCAGAGAGGCAGATTTGAGAGCATGGCCGTGGATGCAAACCCACCTCAGATGCTGCCCCCTCCTCACTGCTGAGCCTAGGGCTAGGGCATTGCTGTGTCCTCCACAAAGGCCTCCTTGGCTAACACCTGCCCTCTAAGCCAAGCTAGAGCAGGACCCTTGGAAGCTGTCATCCATCAGCCCTTGGTATGCCTCCTGGGTCAGAAGAGAGAAAGGTTCATTTCCCTCAGACTCCTCCTCCCTTTATTGACCAGGCTGGGGGCTCTTTGCTCCTTCATTCAGCAAACATCCCTGGTGGCGGCGCTAGGTGCTGAGGCATAACTGAGAAGCAGAGAGGCACAGACTGCGACCCAGCAATACCCAAGAAGTAAAGGAAATCACCACAAGCATGCAGCTGAGAGGCCAGCCCAGATGGTGTGCCCAGGAGGCTGCAGAGGGTCAGCCGGGTTGACTGAGCATTACAGGTACTTGTGAATAGACCAGAAGGCTGGTGTGGCTGGAGGGGATACAGGCAGGGAGAAATACAAGAGACGACCACAGCCACACCCCCAACCCAGGTCCAGGCCAAGTTAACCATTTCCTTAACCTCTGACAGGCAGCTGCTGCATTAGCTTGTTTGCTCTCCTGACATGTCTAATTCCTCCAGTCCCAGCAGGACAATCACCTTCCATGGCCTGGATACTGGCCATGGTTAGCAGCACCCCTCCCCCAATTGCTGACTTCCCTCCTGACACTGTACCATCCCCACTGTACCCCATCTTTCTTCCTAACTGGTGTCATCCTGTGCTCATGACACTGTTTAGAGATCCCAAACCCAGATGTGCCTGCTCTGGCCATGTTTGTGATGCTGGGAGGATGGTGTCTGCAGAAGCCCACACCTCCAGCCTGCTCAAGGAATCACTGTACCAGAGGGGCCCCAAGCTCTGCAGTGGCCCTAGAGATCTGCAGTGACCCTGGAGGCCTGCAGTGGCCTGGAGGTCTGTGGTGGCTCTAGAGGTCTGCAGTGTCCCCATTCTCCCTGGAAAGGAAGGAGCCCTGGGCAGGAGCCAGACTGCTATATATATGTCCTTGGATAGGCCACCTACGGGTCTGGGGCTCCTCCCCCACAGCATGGCCTTGTCTTTCTCTCATTCCCTGCCCTACACTCTGCCTGGCCTGAGATTGGCTCCCTGGGATAGGACTGAGCAAGTCGCCCACAGCACACAGTAAGGCAGTCCCCTGAGCACCTCCCTTCCTTGACACATCCCCAGGACTCCTTGCTTCTTCCTGAGAACATGTCTTGGATACTATCAGCTTCCTCGTGGCACCTCCATTCCACAGGCAGGCAGGGGACAGGAACCTCCTCAGTGGTCCCAGAGTGAGCTTTGAGTTGGGCCTGACACAAAAAGACACAGTCCCAGCTGTCTCTGGTGCTCATGTGTGCCAGTTTCTCTTCTTTGGTAGCCCTCCTCTGTGTGGTCACTGGCCTCTGTTCTGGGTCAGGAGCTGGTTTGGGAGCCTCCTGAGCTGAGCACACAGTGAAGACTGGGCCAGGCTCTGTCTGACCCCTGGGTTCCGACCCCTGCACCCATCCTGCCCTGGGGTCAGGGCCTTGGGCTGTGCAGGCCCAGAAAAAATAAGAACAAGTTTATTTTGATGCTGAGGACCCTGGAATCTCTCTGCATAAACATTCCAAACCAAAAGGAACCAAAATACACATGTTTCTCACCAGAAGTATGAAATTGAAAATATGTATGACAGGCTTTGGCTGGGCTGGGGTCTGCCTGTCCTGCAGGGACACAATAGCTCTCTCACCCCTCTCACTCTGAAGTGAACACCATGACCCAGGTCCTGGGAAGGTGGGAGCCTGGGGTCCATCTTTGCCTACCCCTCCCAGGCCCACCTGGCCCTGACAGCAACAAGAGCAGTTCATAGAAGGCCTTCACATCGAGACACCAGCCTGAGAAGACGCCTCTCCAGGAGCAGATCAGATTGGAAATGCAATGCCTCCATGCGTGGGTGAGGCACAGAGGTCAGTGTGCTGAGGAACCTGGACTTAGGGACAAACAAAGCCTGTCAGTGAATTGTCTAGAGGGACCCACAGGCCACTGGCGGGGCTGAGAGTGGGCAGCAGGCAGTGGGGTCAGGGCAGGCTGCTGGGGACCAGCCACTCTCACTTCCGCAGAGGAACAGTTCTCCTCTGAAGGAGGCACAGAGCCAAAGAGTGAAGGACAAGTGTTCTCACGACCCTCCCGTCACAGGTCCTGCTCACCCTGGCAGCCCTCTGGGTGGGCAGCAGACTC